CTAAATGGGTAAGGTGTACGTATAACATGTTAACCGTGAGTGACTAGCTTTGTAAGGTGTACGTATAACATGTAATCCGTGAGTGACTAACTTGGTAAGGTGTACGTATAACACGTTTACCGTAAGTTACTAACTAGAACATGTTACATGTTAACTGTGAGTGACTAACTAGGTAAGGTGTACGTATAACATGATACATGTTAACTGTGAGTGACTAACTTGGTAATGTGTACATATAACATGTTAACCGTGAGTGAATAGCTTGGTAAGTAGTAAGTATAACATGTTAACTGTGAGTTACTAACTAGGTGAGGTGGATGTATAACATGTTAACTGTGATTGACTAACTTGGTAAGGTGTACGTATAACACGTTTACCGTAAGTTACTAACTAGAACATGTTACATGTTAACTGTGAGTGACTAACTAGGAAAGGTGTTTGTATAACATGTTAACTGTGAGTGACTAACTTGGTAATGTGTACATATAACATGTTAACCGTGAGTGAATAACTTGGTAAGTAGTCCGTATAACATGTTAACTGTGAGTTACTAACTAGGCAAGGTGTATGTATAACATGTTAACTGTGAGTGACTAACTTGGCAAGGTGTACGTATAACATTTTAACTGGAGTTACTAACTAGGTAAGGTGTACGTATAACATGTTAGCTGTGAGTGACTAACTAGGTAAGGTGTATGTATAACATGTTAACTGTGAGTGACTAACTAGACATGTTAACCGTGAGTGACTAACTTTGTAAGGTGTACGTATAACAGGTTAACTGTGAGTGACTAACTTGGTAATGTGTACATATAACATGTTAACCGTGAGTGAATAGCTTGGTAAGTAGTAAGTATAACATGTTAACTGTGAGTTACTAACTAGGGGAGGTGTATGTATAACATGTTAACTGTGAGTGACTAACTTGGTAAGGAGTACGTATAACAGGTTAACTGTGAGTGACTAACTTGGTAAGGTGTATGTATAACATGTTAACCGTGAGTGAATAACTTGGTAAGTAGTACGTATAACATGTTAACTGTGAGTTACTAACTAGGTGAGGTGTATGTATAACATGTTAACTGTGATTGACTAACTTGGTAAGGTGTACGTATAACACGTTTACCGTAAGTTACTAACTAGGTAAGGTGTACGATCAATATAACGGAATGAAAAACATTAGGAAGGCTCGTATGGAATAAGGAATACTTTATATATAAATATCTCGTTATATTGATTAACCGTGTTCACCTTGGGTTACTTAGTAGGTTAGGTACACATCTACCGTGGTAACCGTCGGTGACTAACTAGGTAAGCAGTACGTCTACCGTGGTTACCGTGGTGACTTACTAGGGTGTATGTCTCCCGTGATAACTGTGGGTGATTTACTAGGTAAGGAGTACGTCCACCGATGTAACTGTGGATGACTTCCTATGTTAGGTACACGTCTACTGTGGTAACTGTGGGTGACTGATTAGGAAAGGGGTTCGTCTACCGTGGTAAATGTGGATGACTGACTAGGTACAGGATAACATCTACCGAGGTAACTGTGGGTGACTTGGTAAGGATAACGTCTACCGAGGTAACTGTGGGTGACTAGGTACAGAATAACGTTTACCGAGGTTACTGTGGGTGACTGACTAGGTACAGGATAACATCTACCGATGTAACTGTGGGTGACTAGGTACAAGATAACATCTACCGATGTAACTGGGTGACTAGGTACAGGATAACATCTACCGATGTAACTGTGGGTGACTAGGTACAGGATAACATCTATCGAGGTTACTGTGGGTGACTGACTAGGTACAGGATAACATCTACCGATGTAACTGTGGGTGACTAGGTACAGGATAACACATACCGAGGTAACTGTGGGTGACTTGGTAAGGATAACGTCTACCGAGGTTACTTTGGGTGACTGACTAGGTACAGGATAACATCTACCGAGGTAACTGTGGGTGATTTAAATTACTAGGTAAGGGTTACGTCTACTGTGGTAACTGTGGGTGACTTACTAAGTTAGGAGTACGTCTACCATGGTAACTGTGGGTGATTTCCTAGGTTAGGTACACGTCTACTGTGGTAACTGTGGGTGACTTACTAAGTTAGGAGTATGTCTACCATGGTAACTGTGGGAGATTTCCTAGGTTAGGTACACGTCTGCTGTGGTAACTGTGGGTGATTTACGAAGTTAGGAGTACGTCTACCATGGTAACAGTGGGTGATTTCCTAGGTTAGGTTCACGTCTACTGTGGTAACTGTGGGTGACTTACTAATTTAGGAGTACGTCTACCATGGGAACTGTGGGTGATTTCCTAGGTTAGGTTCACGTCTACTGTGGTAACTGTGGGCGACTTAATAAGTTAGGAGTACGTATACAATGGTAACTGTGGGTGATTTCCTAGATTAGGTACACGTCTACTGAGGTTACTGTGGGTGACTGACTAGGTACAGGATAACACATACCGAGGTAACTGTGGGTGATTTAAATTACTAGGTAAGGCTTACGTCTACTGTGGTAACTGTGGGCGACTTAATAAGTTAGGAGTACGTATACAATGGTAACTGTGGGTGATTTCCTAGGTTAGGTACACGTCTACTGTGATAACTGTGGGTGACTTACTAAGTTAGGAGTACGTCTACCATGGTAACTGTGGGTGATTTCCTAGATTAGGTACACGTCTACTGAGGTTACTGTGGGTGACTGACTAGGTAAGTAGTACGTCTACCAAGGTAAGTGTGGGTGACTGACTTGGTAAGGCGAATACGTCTACCTTGGTTACCTTTCGCGACTTACTAGGCAAGGAGTACATCTGCCGTGGTAACTATTGGTGACTAACTAGGTACCGTGGTAACTGTGGTTGACTTACTAGGTAAGGAGTATGTCTACTGTAGTTGACGTTGTTGACTTACTAGGTAAGAAGTATGTCTACTGTGGTTACCGTTGTTGACTTACTAGGTAAGGAGTATGTCTACTGTGGTTACCGTTGCTGACTTACTAGGTAAGGAGTATGTCTACTCTGGTTACCGTGGTGACTAACTAGGTTAGGTGTACGTCTACTTTAGCTACTGTGGTGACTTACTAGGTTAGGTATACGTCTACCGTGGTTACCGTGGGTGACTCACTAGGTAAGATGTATGTATACCGTGTTTATATTGATCCTTTGGAATTCCAAATAAGAGAGAAAAAAAGAGAAGCACGTATAGATTTAAAAAAAAGTATATAATATGTTTTATATGAACTGTGAAAGATGGAAATATCTAAAAGAAAAATGATATGGATGAATTGTTAATAAGTTAAGCTTCTCAGCACGAGAAAGATCTGATACAGAGCGTCCGGGACGATGTTCTTGTGTAAAACAATCCAGACATCATCCTTAGGTTTGGTTTGGTTTGTTTTGGTTTGGTTAAGTATTGTTTAACGTCCTATGGTCATTTAGAGACGGCCTACCATGTATGCAAGATACATGTGTGTAGTGTATGCGTGTGTTTTGGAAGGTTGCGTTGTGTTCGGATTTGTCTCTTTGTGATAGCGCAGAATTGATGCCGAATTTATAGTGCTACCTCACTGAAACATACTGCCGAAGACACCCAGCAGGACACCCAGCAGGACACCCAGCTTACTATCATGACCGGTAACATTAAACCGTCAACGGGCAAACCAGTCGTCCCACTCAAGAATTGCTGAGCGTTAAGCAGGAGTAGAAACTATCATGTTTACAGACTCTGATATGTCTCAGCCAGGGGACAGCACCCAAAGACTCCTCACAGGGGCGAACGCTCAAATAAAGGCAAAAAGTGAGGCATTGTAAAGGGAGAATTAAGAAGAAGACATTCGTTTAGAAAGAAGAGAAAAGATAAGATCCTAAATTTAGTCGCCTCTTACTATCATGCAATGGGGACAGCAGGTACAATTCTTACGCCCTACCTGCATGGACTTATCCTTAGGAGCCACTACTGTAAAATGGAGTATACATCAGTGGAAGAGAACTCCCAAATGATCGAATGGGAGAGCAGACCATGTTTTACTTTTCCAATATCCCCTTTATGCCAAAGAAAACACCGTTTCTGAACGCATCAATCACCATGCTTTACTTCTAGCCTTTCGTTGAATCTTTACATAATACAACAACAGAAATTCAAACATCCAATATCATGATACCTTTTGTCGACTTAAAATAGGAAATAACCTGCAATTTGTAAACATGGTGTCGGCTGCCGATGTCTCCACATATGCACACTATAAGGTGAACATAAATAACCATATTGCCTGCCAGCTTCTCTATCTACGTTTACGTCAACATGCAAACCCATGCGCGTACCCAGACATACGCAGACTTTTATTGCACGCAAAAAGTGATAATAAAAATACTGTGTGCTACCAGTGTTCCATAATATTCATTCCTCGAAGTATATGTGAGTATTGGTTTCCAGTCGCGAATCGTCTTTTTCCTTTGTTGAATTCAACATGAATCTAGGTACTGACCGGTTGCTAATGAAAGACAGTCTGTGTCCTGTTTCAAAATTTCCATGAGAAGACTAAAAACTCCATTAATATTTGTAGTTTTTCTTCGAATGATTTATTTGGTGGAGTCAAAGTAACTAACTACGGATTACAAACAGGTATTTATCAGCATGTAAATCTCATTTGACTCTCACTCACTCATCACGCGGAAGGTCTCACTGATCCTGGCATTACATGAAATGTATTTTTTTTCCGGATTTAATGGTCGACTTAAGAAGATAAGTTTTAAACCTGAAATATCAAAGGAAATTCAAAGGACTTTACACTTAAATTGGTAAAATGTCACAGATAGTTACGTTTGAAATAAAGTTGTCTCCCCTTTGTCATGATCTGAAAGTTAACAACTGAACATTCCTCGAAACACTGGTGAGGAATTGTCCACTTAAACATGTTATAATGACACAGACTATATTTGTATGAGAATACGATGTGTACAAATCTTGATAAAAAATTAAAACAAACAACATTTTACATGAAACTTTATTAAAAATGCAGATCGCCTTTGCAGCTTATGTCTAATCCTTGCAAAATGTAATCAACATAACTATCAATGGTTTCTTTCTATAAATTTAATTGACATGACATACAGAAGAGAGGTAACACGGCAAACATAGGTAACCTTTGTATGTCGATTTAATCTTACGAAGGTACAGTTGTTGATAATCGAAGATCAGCGGAGGAATATTCATCCTAAAATGAAAAATGAAATGTCAGATATATGTAATACAGCACTTTTTAAATTCATATAAAGGGATGTGATTCGTGATATTATTCAATGATAGCCTTTGGCTCAGGTCGATACCACGTCATAATTCTATTTTCAGAAACACCCAGTCCTTCAACAAAAATCACGCGCTCCAAGTCAATATCGATTTTATCGGTGGACATGTGATGCACTTCTGGCCAATCACTTGACGGGAATAATATAAAAACTAAATAATCCAATGTAACAATCACAAAATTAAAGTATATCACACACACACACAGCATATATTGTAATGATTGAGAAACAGTTTTAAAATCATGTATTCATATTCATATGTAAGAACCTATAAAACTATGACTACTTAATTCGCCTTTCTTTAAACCTACATTCACTTAAAGCCCTGTTATTTGAATTGGAAGATCACGATACTTACCTAGGGAGAAATGACAATTTCACCAGAAGCTACTAAAGCTGTAAAGCAATTTGAAAATAATAATCAATATGAGTTACTTATGAACTGACACACTGTAAACAAGTGATAGATATTGAAATGCAATAATGGAAACATCTTCTCGCAAGTATAACCTTCATATTTTAACGTTAAATAACACTGTTTATATTCCAATTATAGAATAGCTACTGCAAGAGTTAAACTTATTGTTGAAAAAAAAACCTCATATTATGATATGATATTATAAATATTTGATTTCGAATGTATTTACCATAGAATTCGTCACAAAGGTTGCAGCTTAAAGCACAATTGGCTATGGCGAACTTTTTAGACAATGGGTCTGCCGTGTTACATATAAGGGGCACGTATTTGCTACAGTAACCCGATTTGTCATAATCTTTGCACGGGAACGTTGTAGTACTCGCTAACATGGACGCTACAAAAACAAAAATAGATACAAAAAATTAGCATCAATAAATTTTCATTTGAGAGTGTTTGTTTTCCATGATTTATTTTAAAAACAGTTGACATCTTAAAATAATAAATATTTGAAATTCATTGATCAATAACTTCATGAATTTTGTTACTAGAAAAGTCTAGTATGTATAGGTACAGATCTTACTGATATCTAGGAAATCAGAAAAAAACAATATATTTATATATGCACCAGTCAAAATTTATGAAATAGATTAGATTAATATCAATAAGTATACGGTTATTTGTAACTTACCTGTAGTTACATTCATTCCTGTTGCTGCAGTCGTGATTGGCTGAGAGCTGTTGGTAGTTGCCATTGTCTGAACTGGTGCCATTGTTGTTGTGGGTGGTACTGCAGTCGTTGGCATTGCTGTTGTCGGTAATGTTGAAACTGGACCTAAAATGCAATGCAGTGATCAATAAAATAACAGACTATAGAACTAAAAGCTTCAACGCGTATACCAATAACATCCGTATACAAGATGTATATCAGTAATATTTCGCAAGGAAACATTGTTAGTTATATATAGTAATTCTCGAAGAAATATAGTAGCCAAGCAACAATCAAATAATATTTACCACTCGGAACAATACTCTCTTAGCACTGTTGCCAAAGGAAAATATTATTATAAAATGTTTTTTTAAGAATTCGAGTTATGCTTTCAATAGCATCTTGAAATTGTACTCAACAGTACACGCCTAGGAAAATAATACTCATCTAGGAGTTGAGTACACACACAGGAGTAAAGTACCTGTCTGTGAGTATGACACACGCTTAGGAGTATAGTACCCTACTCGGAGTAAAGTACACACCTAAGGGCATAGTACACACCTAGGAGCAGAGATTGGAGTATAACACCAACCTTTGAGAATAGAACACACCTTGGAGTATAGTATTATTCTAAAAGTAACTATACAGACCTAAAATGAGAATTATATTTATTCTTTTTTAACTTTAAACTTTTCAGCTCATCAGTGTACTTGTAACAATATAAAATACATTGGCAGACACTGCAAAACGCAGTGGAGAATGAACAAAAGATTTGACACATTTAAATGTCATTATATCATAGTCTTCCTCAATTTAGTGGCATCATATATATATTTGCTAAACCTGGTTATTTCTTTTACATTTGTTGAGCACAGTAATTGTATTAACTTAAGAACAGATGGTTTTCTCCAGTAATACATTTTTATACACTTTGAGAATTTACGCCTATGCGTATAGAAAACACCTAATAGTAAATATCCCATGTAGGGGTACATTGTATGCAAGTAGTAATTGTCTGTAAAAAAAGCAATAGTATCGTATTGTCATAGTAAAGAGCCGTTGACTCTCACCTGAAATGAATGACCATACAATGACTATATTAACGGCCAGTGGCTATGCTATACTTTATTATGTGAATAATGGCAAATGATTATACTGATTTAGTCTAACCTAGATATAGCATATACATGTAAGTTTATCAACATCACTTTATAGGAATTAATTTCCTAAGGATACGATAAATTCTGCATACATAGTATATATTTTTGGACGTTACGTTATGTCACAACTTACCATGTTGACAATAATCTGTGTCGCAACAACTTCCCTGGATCTGTCTCTTCCTCCTACCGACGGCAGGGCCACCGACTGGTATACCGAAAAATCTGTGACATTGCTGAAAATATTATTTGAAAAGTTCCTGTTTGCGGTATGTTAAATAATGTCAACAATCATGTTAAACACGCAAGTGTAAAATATTAATTGAACAGTAAATACATTTTGTTTATGGCGTTCTAATTTAGGCGAAATTCTATCACAGTTTGGGATTCTGTGTCGCTCATGAAAATGTTAAACCTTTTGTTTTAATGTTTACTTTCGCTCTTGTTCAGTTGAAGACAAGTTTGTCCTTGTGCGAGGAGATGTTTTTTTTATATTATTTTATCACTTCAGAAGAACAAGTGGATTATTCCGCAATATACTAACGTGTATGAGAGAAGGATTGCCCATTCAAAAATGTAGTGAAGGTTATTCTGCTTAAGAGTCCATTTTCTATACTAGTGCTATACTCATGCATAGGGATATACTACTTATCTAAGTCCTTAACATAAACATTATTTAAGCAAACATTACAAAAAGAGTTTTCATGAGTTTATTCTAGAAATAAACAATGACATCATACTTACGGTCGTGTTCATACACCCAAGTCTGTAATCAAGCTCAAAGTTAGCGCCGAATGTTTCCACCGTCACGCATTGCTACAAGGAATTCATTACTTTGATAAGCCATTGTATCGAAATTTTACAGGTCGTAACGTACATATAATTACTTATAATTCCACAAATGGTTTGATGTAAGACTTTCTAATATTCCAAATATAGAGTAGTGTGACCGCACAACGTACCGAAAATAGTGTGCGCATATCGTGTATACATCGTCTGCACAACTGTGCGATTTAACAATCGTTCGCCCCGTTGTACGCTTCTCTCCGCATAAGTGTGCGATTTGATACAACTGGTTGATCAATATTATGGAATAAAAAATATCCGGAAGGCCCCCATGAAATAAGGTACACTGTATGCATTGATTTCTCATCACAATAATTAATATTATATTCAATTTTACAATGCGTGTTTAAACAGTATTACAGTGACCGTTGGATAGTCAATCATGGGTTTGGCTCCAAGGTAACATTTATGCTATAATGCATATTCACCAATTAACATGAGGTAACTTTTAACAGAACAACATAAAAACTAATACTCGAAATACCTGTCCTTTCATGCATGTTAACGAAGCCAAGCAGTCTCTTTTATCCTGTACCGCAGGGCAGTTGTAACACTTTCCTGTAGAATAATGATTGTTGTGTTACTTTCACAGTAGCAAAGCGAACATATTTACTACACAATTACAACACAATCACACCTATCAGACACACAGATAAAGAATATTTAATACACTTAAAAAACTCGTTTTTATAAACACATTACACATTGCCTATCTGTAAGTAGTCTGACATAAACACATTACACACTGCCTATCTAGATAGGCAGTGTGTAATGAGTTTATGTCAAAATACTTATAGATAGGCATGGTGTAATGTGTTTATGTCAAACTACTTACAGATAGGCAGTTTGTAATGTGTTTATGTCAGACATATTTACAGATAGGCAGTGTGTAATGCATTTATGTCAGACTACTTACACATTGCCGATCTGTAAGTATTCTGACATATATACATTACACACTGCCTATCTGGAAGTAGTCTGACATTAACACATTACACACTGCCTATCGGTAAGTATTCTGACATAAACACATTACACACTGCCTATCTGTAAGTATACTGACATAAACAAATTACACACTGCCTATCTATAAGTATTTTGACATAAACACATTACACACTGCCTATCTGTAAATATTTCTGACATAAACACATTACACACTGCCTATCTGTAAGTATTTCTGACATAAACACATTACACATTGCCGATCTGTAAGTATTCTGACATAAACACACTACACATTGCCTATCTGTAAGTATTCTGAATAAACCCATCCACACTGCCTATCTGTAAGTAGTCTGACATACATACATTACACACTGCCTATCTGTAGTTAGTCTGACATAAACACATTACACACTGCATATCTGTAAGTAGTCTGACATAAATCCATTACACACTGCCTATCTGTAAGTAGACTGACATAAACACATTACACCCTGCCTATCTGTAAGTATTTCTGACATAAACACATTACACACTGCCTAACTGTAAGTATTTTGACATTAACACATTACACACTGCCTATCTCTAAGTATTTTGACATAAACACATTACACACTGCCTTTCTGTAAGTATTTTGACATAAACACATTACACACTGCCGATCTGTAAGTAGTCTGACATACATACATTACACCCTGCCTATCTGTAAGTATTTCTGACATAAGCACATTACACATTGCCTATCTGTAAGTAGTCTGACATAAACAAATACACACTGCTTATCTGTAAGTATTCTGAAATAAACACATTACACACTGCCGATCTGTAAGTAGTCCGACATAAATACATTACACACTTCCTATCTATAAGTTTTCTGACATAAACACACATTACACACTGCCTATCTGTAAATTCCCTGCAATAAACCCATACACACTGCCTATCTGTAAATACCCTGAAATAAACCCATACACACTGCCTATCTGTAAATACCCTGACATCAACCCATACACACTGCCTATCTGTAAGTAGACTGACATAAACACATTACACCCTGCCTATCTGTAAATACCCTGACATCAACCCATACACACTGCCTATCTGTAAGTAGTCCGACATAAACACATTACACACTGACTATCTATAAGTATTTTGACATAAACAGATTACACACTGCCGATCTGTAAGTATTCTGAAATAAACACATTACACACTGCCGATCTGTAAGTATTCTGAAATAAACACATTACACACTGCCGATCTGTAAGTATTCTGAAATAAACACATTACACACTGCCGATCTGTAAGTAGTCCGACATAAACACATTACACACTGACTATCTATAAGTATTTTGACATAAACACATTACACACTGCCGATCTGTAAGTAGTCCGACATAAATACATTACACACTGCCTATCTGTAAGTAGTCCGACATAAACACATTACACACTGCCTTTCTGTAAGTATTTTGACATAAACACATTACACATTGCTTATCTGTAAGTATTCTGAATAAACCCATCCACACTGCCTATCTGTAAGTAGTCTGACATAACCACATTACACATTGCCTATCTATAAGTATTCTGACATAAACACATTACAAACTGCCTATCTGTAAGTATTCTGACATATACACATTACACACTGCCTATCTATAAGTTTTCTGACATAAACACATTACACTCTGCCTATCTGTAAGTAGTCTGACATAACCACATTACACATTGCCTATCTGTAAGTAGTCTGACATAACCACATTACACATTGCCTATCTATAAGTATTCTGACATAAACACATTACCCATTGCCTATCTGTAAGTATTCTGAATAAACCCATACACACTGCCTATCTGTAAGTAGTCTGACATAAACACATACACACTGCTTATCTGTAAGTATTCTGACATAAACACATTACACACTACCTATCTGTAAATACCCTGACATAAACCCATACACACTGCCTATCTGTAAGAATTCTGACATAAACTCATTACCCACTGCCTATCTGTAAATTCTCTGACATAAACACATTGCGCACTGCGTATCTGTAAGTATTCTGAAATAAACTCATTACACACTGCCTTTCTGTAAATACTCTGAAATAAACACATTACACACTGCCGATCTGTAAGTAGTCCGACATAAACACATTACACACTGCCTAACTGTAAGTATTTTGACATTAACACATTACACACTGCCTATCTGCAAATACCCTGACATAAACCCATACACACTGCATATCTGTAAGTATTCTGACATAAACTCATTACACACTGCCTATCTGTAAATACTCTGACATAAACACATTGCACACTGCCTTTCTGTAAATACTCTGACATAAACACATTACACACTGCCTATCTGTAAGTATTCTGACATAAACTCATTACACACTGCCTATCTGTAAATACTCAGACATAAACACATTGCACACTGCCTATCTGTAAGTATTCTGACTGCTAAGAAGTTTTCATTTCGTTTTGGCTCCTGCTCATACATTCATAAATACTTTGTATAATTGTTATTTACAATACCTTCACACATATATTGCATTTTGTACGTACTGCATGTTTGACAAGACGTTGCACACAGCTTGTTCGCCACACAGGTTGTGTTACATATATTGGGGTCAGACTGCATTAGAGCGGCACAGAAGTTTGTATCTATATCCTGTTCACTGCATATATTCTCATTCAACGAGCCGTCAGGATCTGATAACAATTCAAATTTGAGAAATCCATTAGCAATACGATCAATACGGGTTATTGAGGACGTCACTATCACATGCGTGTGCATTGAGACTAGACATTCTATGTTTATTTCCATATACTGACGCACAATTTTTTTTCACAAGACTCGATAATATGTCTAACAAAAAAAATTGATCTGGATAAAGAATCTATTGAATTTCTGACCGGTAAGCTGAATCCAATGTTTTGTTTAAAATGGTATGGTAAAGAATCTATTGAATATCTGACCGGTAAGCTGAATTCAATGTTTTGTTTAAAATGGTATGGTAAAGAATCTATTGAATTTCTGACCGGTAAGCTGAATCTAGTGTTTTGTTTAAAATGGTATGGTAAAGAATCTATTGAATATCTAACCGGTAAGCTGAATCCAATGTTTTGTTTAAAATGTTATGGTAAAGAATCTATTGGATATCTGACCGGTAAACTGAATCCAATGCTTTGTTTAAAATGGTATTGTAAAGAATCTATTGAATTTCTGACCGTAAGCTGAATCCAATGCTTTGTTTAAAATGTTTGAATATGGTTTGCAGTAACTCTGTTTGACTACCACACTAGTCGGACAATTCATTGATGAGGATTCAATGGTGTAAGAGAAGATTTGAGGGTAGCAAGTTTGACTTACATACAGGGCGGACGTTCGTTGGTGGGGAGGGATCCACTGGTCTGAGAGCAGGGTTATGGTAGTTACACTTGTCATGGTCACAGCAACCTCCTTTTAATGTATATGCTCTGTCGTGAATCGACCTCTTGGTATTGATTATGCCAAATATGCTTAAACATCTCTGTGGTTGAAAAAAAATGTGTAAATATTTCACTCGTATCAGAAAATACGCCGATATTTTCACAAGTGCTTCGCACTCGTCAAAATATTAGCGTTCTTTCATATTCGTAAAAACAATATATGATAATAAACCGGAAAACATGAAATACACTTTTTATATCAAAAATATATCGGTTGAAAATAAAAAACACATTACATGGAATTTATCTAAATAAATATCTGAGCTGTCTAATCTCGATTAGAATAATACTCTTTTAAGATTTTTGTTGTTGTTGTGGTAATTAGATAATTCCATATTAGGGAATACACCTGAAATCCTTGCACATCTTATATTAAGATAATAATACAACTCGAATAACATGCATTGAGTTAATTATCAAAATAGCAAAGGGAAAATATAGCAAAAAACGTTTTCGGAAAAATAAAGTTTCAATGCAATAGATAATCACAAAAACACCCTTGTGACAATGTAAGATTGTTTTTTAATTATCTAAGGGGTGTTGAGTGAAGAAGGTGGTAACCAAAATAAAACTTTTACCATAGAAATAAGAGTGTATCTTATTTCCCAGATAAATATTTTACTCACATTAACATCAGCACAGCCGGATTGAAATAAGGGTAAAAAGTTGCTGGTCAGCTCTTGCACCGCAACACAATACTAGGTATAAAAAAGCATATATACACATTTTTATAAGGTATATGTAGTATACCAGAATTTATATCATTGACATTAAGTTTCGTATCATTCAATAAGATAAAGTCACATGATAACATAATTAAAACAGGTGTGAAAGAGGATTTGTATATTCGTTATCTAAGATTTACTTACAATATTACTTCTATATGGTTTATCTATCGTATATTGTTCTTTCGCTACAAGCGTTTTCTTTCCAAAATCTTTCGGATTAATTAGCAAGTAAAACATCTTCCGAAAATTCCATAAATAATTTTGAAAATTACTAGATTAATATAGCATATTCTAAAAGAGTATTAGTAATAAATAAGATCAACTAATGTAGTACTGGGAAACATGGGCTCTTCAAGCATACTTACTCACAAACACACATTCAAGTCAGTAGAGATGGATGCACAATAGGCTTCACACACATTTGTGTAGCATAGCATTCAATTTAAACACTAAATCAACACATACCTTACATCCATTACATTATGTATGCATGTACCATCATCCATTCCTAATATATTACATAATGTTAAACCATGTAACTACCTACATTTATGTAATATAGTACATGTATGTAAAAACAATGTACCTCTCCATACGCTTTGTAACCCTCATTACCTAATATACGACGTGAGTGTCAAACCATGTGCCTACTCATACATAATGTAAAACCATATTCTAACTTATATGTACTTCATGTATGTAAAACTATGTAACAACCTAATGTGTTTATGTTAAACTATGTACCTACCTAATGTATTTATGTTAAACCATGTAACTACCTAATATATTTATGTTAAACCATGTAACTACCTAATATATTTATGTTAAATTATGTAACTACCTAATATATTTATGTTAAACCATGTAACTACCTAATATATTTATGTTAAACCATGTAACTACCTAATAGATTTATGTTAAACCATGTAACTACCTATTTATGTTAAACTATGTAACTACCAAATGTGTTTATGTTAAACCATGTAACTACCTAATGTGTATATGTTAAACTATGTACGTACCTAATGTATTTATGTTAAACCATGTTACTACCTAATGTGTATATGTTAAACTATGTACGTACCTAATGTATTTATGTTAAACCATGTAACTACCTAATGTGTATATGTTAATCTATGTACCTACCTAATGTATTTATGTTAAACCATGTAACTAACTAATGTATTTATAATAAATCATGTAAATACGTAATATATTTATGCTAAATTATGTAACTACCAATGTATTTATGTTAATCTATGTAACTACCTAATATATTTATGTTCAACCATGTAACTACCTAATGTTTTTATGTTAAACCATGTAACTACCTAATATATTTATGTTAAATTATGTAACTACCTAATATATTTATGTTCAACCATGTAACTACCTAATGTTTTTATGTTAAACCATGTAACTACCTAATGTATTTATGTTAAACCATGTTACTACCTAATGTGTATATGTTAAACTATGTAACTACCTTATGTGTTTATGTTAAACCATGTAACTACCTAATGTATATATTTTAAACTATGTAACTATATAATGGATTTATGTTAAACCATGTAACCACCTAATGTATATATTTTAAACTATGTAACTACATAATGTATTTATGTTAAACCATGTAACTACCTGATGTATTTATGTTAAACCATGTAACTACCTCACATAGCATGTAGCACCACGTAAGAACACCATAGTAAATTATATAGTAATCACTAGAAATACTTAGCAAACATTTAGTCAGTTCAGGATTCATCAACTGGACTAAAAGTATACGTAACAAGAATGCAATTCGATAGTATTAATTATGTGTCCGGATAACGTGTAGAAATACAACAAAAGGAAAGGGTTCGTATAAAACTTTTTATTTAACGTAACATATTTGTAGTTTTGGATATTACAGCTAATTTATTTTTAACTAGTTTTAATTAAGTCGACAAACCCATTTACCCACCTCAAATAGCATGCAACGTAATGTTTTCTTTTCGAATGCACTGTATCTCATTGCATTAAGTTACCTCGTTTAAACATTAATCTTTGACTAAAGCATGTCAATGATAGAGAGTGGGGGTGGGGGTGGGGGGAGGTCTTGATTAATTCTGTAGATGATTTAGATAAAGGCATCTTACTGGACCGTGATTCATATTTGTATAAAATGTTTCGTTTCGTGAATGTGTCCAAGATGATAGAGGAGGAAATGGGAACATGAAAACTAACTATTAACCCTTTCACCCCTATGTAACTTTAGTAGACTATACCATGCATTGATATGGAGGGTTCACTATGGTCGTCAGTGCTGGAAGGGTTAAGACATTGTTATTGTCCTTTATTATTATCATAATTACTTTTTCTAAGTTTAACTGCGATCCCACTGGCGTTCTAGTGATCCCTTCAGTCACAATGTAGCACAAAAGGCTGAATTGAAACTGGTTTCTTTTGAATTTTCTAATATCACACCACATGTGTATATAATGTACAACCAATTTTGGAGGGTGTGGGTGGAGGTGGGGATGATGATAGACGATACTTGTGATTTCAGGCTGCATTGTCCTAACCATATACCATAACAAGTGTTTGAACTCAAAACAATTCAATTTTTGGAACCCATTCCATATGCATCTGTTAAATTTGTCCCGACTCATGTTAATTGTCACACGTGTTTCTGTCCCATACAATATGTAGCATGTATACCCAGGCACTTCATGTAAGCTAACCCGTAAACGTTCATCAAATATACTGTAACGCATCTACCTTCTTCACGTGACTGTCCCGCAGATATTTACCTCATGAAAAACTACCCCATGCACCTACTTCATGTTATCATCAACATGTATATATACCTACCTCATACCATTCTCGATATACAGGGGTTACGCTCACTTTCGCTCTCTACACCCCTGTAATATGTCGTAGCAAAATTGAAGGCTCAGTGTGCGCCACCTTGTTGATGAGACGAGAAGATTAGTTCGATCCTTTGATAAACATCAAAAGTATCTCGCGGTCATGTAACGGTAAAATTTGACAGGCTTTGAAGTCGGGCGTCTCTCCTTTGTAATCTTCAAAGAACAGGTATTATCCTAGCAATTGGTCAGGTTTTTTTTTTACTTGAGACCGATTAAACAGCTATCTTCGTGCCTTCCATTTTGCTATGACATATCCCAGGGGTGTAGAGCGCGAAAGTGAGCGTAACCCCTGTATATCGAGGATGAAGTAACCCCTGTATATCGAGGATGAAGTAACCCCTAGATATCGAGGATGACCTCATACAATCTGCAAAGCATATCGTATCTTCTTTGTACCTTAAACGGTTACATACCTCATGCACACTATTGCACTGAACAGTTTTGTTACATTCCTCGGGATAAAGTTCATCTTTACAAGTGTAACAGGTAAGTGCTGAAACAAAAATATCAACCAATAAATTTCAAGTTTGATAAGGTGATCAAAAACGAGTTTTAACAATTCAGTGAAAATGTGTCTCCTACTTACGACAAAGTCCACATGTCTTCCGGCAGAGGTCAGCTATGCACGGTTCGGAACACATGTCTTTGATCGTTCCCATCAGAGACGTGCATGCTGCAGCGTCTTTGTCTTCACACGTGTCCGCCACCACTCCGGTAGCAACTAAAGTGAAAAATACACATTTTATACTACCCTTTTACATTAGATGCATTATCAAAATCTCCGGTACACAAACACACAAGCACGCTTACACAACACACATGGAGACACGTCCACAAATGACCTTAGCTGTTAATAGAACGTTAAACAAAATATAACCAAACTGAAAGGTTTAAACTACTACAAAAACAAAATTTCTATTCAAACAAATGCCTACAAAACGCCCTTAAAATAGGACATATGTTTGAATTATGTTTCCAACAAGCAGATATAATAATTCAAGGTTCTTTTATACCGCTTTATCACAACCTAGCTCGTAGGTCGTCTCAAAGCGGTTCACAAATTGCTATCCGTGGTTATAGGGCCTTTGCAATCAGCCAATATCTTTCTAAACTCTCTGGTGAACATACAGCCGGTGCTGCCATTTCAACCATTCAACAATTCCAGCACCGCCCAACCACGTACTTATTTACAGCTGAGTAGACTGAAACAAGGGGAGTAAAGTATCTTGCTCAAAGATAGAACACAGTGCCGTGACATGACTCGAGGCCACAACCCTTCGGTCACGAGCCCAGCGTCCTACCACTACACTATCGGGCCTCACACTATACGTCTCTGCAACAGGAGTGCCTTCAAATAATCAAGACGATTATTTTTGTTCTAATAACAAATAAGATTTTATGATATATGTTTGTTGTTTTTATTTCATTACCGTCAATCTGTTAAATTAATACGATTGTAAACTGCCTGTTTGTACAAGTGCTGCGTGTTTCATTATATCTGTCAATCTCATTCTAAATTTACGTTCGCGAAATAACAAGCATAAATTTTAAAAAGGCAGTTTTTTGGTTTTGGTTATGTATAGAAACATATCGTTACATTATCATTGTTGTTGCTACTTACTGATAACAAGGAAAATTGCTGTAGCAGTATACATGTCCAGGAGTATGTGCAGAAAGAATTCGGAAAGGCAGTCAAACGTCTCGTGTAGATCGTGTGAACAATGGCATGTGGGTCTTTGTCAGTAATGTGACGTCACTCGACCTCCGTTCTTAGTGTATGCTAAACGCCTTGTCAAGTTATATCGTGACACAATTAACCTTATTATATCTACTCAAAACATTGGCTACCTGACGTATCTTTACGACTTGTTATTACATAAGGAAAGATAACAATGTCGTGCTAGAGTTTATTGATTTAGTGTCTCCTTTCATCAAACTTTTGTTATTAATTACAATAATTGATGAAACGAACATTACGGATTTTGCAGTTGCGATGCATCATCCCTTTTGTTGTTGTGGTGTTATCTATTCCGTCTTTGCGTATTGTAGAGTTATCTTCTCTTGAGAGCAGGGATTGATTGTTACGTCATTGGTTCGTGTGAGAAAATTACGTCGTTTTCTCAAAAATTGATGACGTTACTCTCACAGACAAATGACGTAACAATCATTACCTGCTCTCAAGAGAAGATAACTCTGCAATACGCAAAGACGGAATTGTTGTGACTGCAGTTCAAGTTTACAACGATGTAGGGCCACAGATGTACATCTACATTAGGTCTGAATATCAACTTTATCAGCAGTAAATAAAAGCCATGTTGGTCTTCACGGTGCGCTGCCAACTTTATAAATATACATATCAGTTAGTACAGGATTGGCTTTCGACCTCTCAGCAAACAGTTCTGATTGACCCTGTGCTCACAACCATAAGTAAAGGTTACATCGAGGACCATTGCAAATCGATAAATGATATATATCTTATTAAAATGTACTTTTTCAGCAGTTGATAAAAGCTATGCTGGTCTTCACTGTACGCTGCTAACTTTATAAATATACTTATTAGTAAGTACAGGATAGGCTTCCGACCTCTCAACAAACAGTTCTGATTGTACCGATACTCATCAACATAAGTAAAGGTTGCATCGACGTTCATTTAAAATTATTATATGATATTTATCTTAATGAAATGTATATACTTTTTCAGCGAGCCGTCGGAATTGGAAATAAGCCAAAACAAAAAACAAAACAAAAACCCACCAAACCATGTTCATTTACAGTCAAGGTTAAGTGCAATTATAAGTTATAAGTCATTTTTTGGCTATTCCCCTAGTGATAGACTTTTAAAGTTATATTATATAATCTAAGTAAACAAGTGTAAGGGAACTTCTCATTGATGTTTCTGTGTGTAAGGGAGCTTATCATTGAAGTAATTAAGTGTAAGGGAACTTCTCATTGATGTTTCTGTGTGTAAGGGAGCTTATCATTGAAGTAATTAAGTGTAAGGGAACTTCTCATTGATGTTTCTGTGTGTAAGGGAGCTTATCATTGAAGTAATTAAGTGTAAGGGAACTTCTCATTGATGTTTCTGTGTGTAAGGGAGCTTATCATTGAAGTAATTAAGTGTAAGGGAACTTCTCATTGATGTTTCTGTGTGTAAGGGAGCTTATCATTGAAGTAATTAAGTGTAAGGGAACTTCTCATTGATGTTTCTGTGTGTAAGGGAGCTTATCATTGAAGTAATTAAGTGTAAGGGAACTTCTCATTGATGTTTCCGTGTGTAAGGGAGCTTATCATTGATATTGCAATGTCTAAGGGAGCTAATTTGATGTTACCGTCTGTAAGGGAACTTCTCATTAATGTGTCTGTGCGAAAATGAACTACTCATTGATGTATCCTTGTGTGAGGGAGGTTATCATTGCTGTTACCACGTGTAAGGGAGCTTATCATTAATGTTACAGTAAGGGAGATAATCATTGATGTTACCGTGTGTAAGGAAACTAATGTAACCGTTTGTAAGGGAGCCAATCATTAATGTTTCCGTGCGAAAATGAACTACTCATTCATGTCTCCGTACGCATGGGAACTAATCACTGATGTTAGCATGTCTAAGGGAGATAATCATCAATGTTACCGAGTGTAAGGGGGATAATCATTTATGTTACCGTGTGTAAGGGAGCTAATAACTTATTATTAATAACTAGCGGCCTCGGTCAAACAGTTCCCCAGGGCGTCCCCCTACCTCGGGATGATAGTTTTGACTGTTCCCCAAATAGCCATGAAACAATTGTATAATGTTACCGTGTGTTTAGGGAGCTTATCATTAATGTTACAGTGTGTACGGGAGATAATCATCGATGTCGCCGTGCGTAAGAAAGTTAATCATTGATGTTATCATATATGAGAGAGCTACTCATTACTGTTACCGTGTTTAAGGGAGCTTATCATTGATGTTAACATGTGTTAAGGGAGTAAATCATTGATGGTACCGTGTGTAAGGAAACTACTTCTTGATTATACCATGTGAACGAGAAAAGCTCATTGATGGTACCGTATGTAGGAGACCCAGTTATGACTGTTTCCGGTTCCATTCCTTGATGTGTATCTGTGTACATGTAAGAGCACCAACTTTTGATGCCAGGGCAGGGCTATTATTTATTGAGCAATTGATCTGTACTAAAAACAGATATCAAACCCAAACTTTCTAACTTCTAGTGTGTTTATGTAGGTGTTGCAAACAATCCATATCTCTGTACAGAATGACCTGGCCTTGAAATAGACCAACTGTTGACCTACTGAAATCGTGTTTCATCGAGATAGCATGTAGCCGTATAAATATTTGTAGTACATTCAAAGCAATAATCATTCAAGTACAGTTAAAAAATATATAGTCAAAAACATTTGTCTGCCACAGTTGTACTGTCTATAACCGTTCTTAGGGGAAACACCGTTTTTAGCCAACTAAATAGTTTTGTTTTTTTCCAAGTTATGTCGTCATAGAAATGATTCCATGCATGGGATTATGATTGCTTACCTAATATCGCTATTATATGTTATGTACAGTAAGGTAGGGGAATTATCACCTACTTAACAGTATACTCACTGACATAAAATGATTCTGTTACAGCTGCAACACGCAAGGACAAGTTTGGAACTAAAGGTCGTCACGTTGAAAGAATCATATCAAAACCATGTTACGGAATGCTTAGTGATTCTTGCATTAGATTTAGCATCCGTCATATTTTCTTTCGTCGAATTTAGGAACACGGGTTGGTCACGAGCTCCTAAACATAAAGCGAACACATCGTTCTGTCTCCTTAGTTGCAAATGTCGGAACCTCTGCGAAATCGCTTGAGGTGGAATTTTTATTTACATTAAACGAATCAGTTGCATGCAGGCAATCAGTTTTGCAGATACAGTCTGTTTTACCACTGGTGTTCGAGCAGGTAAAATAGCAAGTGACCATGACAACAACTGATTGGCGTCCTTTATATAGGGAGGTCCTTTAACCCGTTTTGGTTGGTTATCTTATTTCTGTAACTCGGCGTAGTTTATTTACAAAAAACACAAAATAGACGAGGTTTACAATCATTTTCTATAATTTCTGAACATTTGTTAACGACGTTGAGAAAAATATGATAGTCAACAGTAATGAAGAAAAGAAAATGTTGATACCTTATTTTTGCATCAAAAACAAACTGTGTGCTTACGTTATATCCCTTTTCTCTCATATCCGGTCATGTAAGATAACGCTGGCAATGTAAGATAACCATGCTTGCTGAGTCTATCTTACATGGGCTAATCACATCGCGAACTAATACAAAAACTAAGGGGAGCAACTCCCAATGGCAACAACTTATAATTACGTATGTAATATTCGCCCGGCTCTGTATTTGTTAATTGTATCTATAAATTTATTTATATCAATCAATTACATGATCAGTCATGAATTAAAATTTGACAGCAAAAACATATTTTGTTTTCTATTTTCAACTAGGAACTATGTTTCTCTGCGCACTAAATGAGATGTACAGTACCTAGCGATGAGGTTCAAAGATGGTGATTCGAAAATGCCGTATGGAAAATAGAAAGGTAAATAACATCTAAACCATAGAGTTATCATGGAAATGTGTTGTTTTTATGCGTGCAACAAAGTTGTGGTTTGGGGGTATGGCGAATTCATTTATACTGCTATATTTGTTAAAACTGGAAGTTGGCGACCGCCTGTGGGCATTGAGAGGTGAAGTATTTGTTTTTAATGGTAGATATGAGAAAAAAATACCCCTCGGAAGGGTTTCTTTATCCACGACCACCTCCGGTACATATGAAAGAGTCTTATAATCCGACATCAATGGACTATTCAGCATGAAGTGATAAAATGCCATTAGCTCGATAAAGATAGTATAATATTCTATTCATCAGAGTATATTTTGTTCGCTAATTAATACTTTAATTATTAATTATGTATCGATTAAGAAAATGCAAACGATAGCATGTAGTGTAATTTTTTCATTGCGATTAACTTTTCATTGTACGTATTCACACGTGCTATCATTAGTTTTAATGATGGAAATTGGTTCGTATCACAGGTTACCAATGAAATGCATTGAAGATGGTTACATAACGCAATTGTTAATGAACATATATTTTTTTCTGTCATCCACGAAACCATTTGCATGGTAAAATGTTTTCATTTCATTTTCGAGTGCTTCATTGACAATGGCTACCTGTTTTGTGTGTGTGTTTTAAACACAAAGGGATCTGTGTGTAAAGTGATTTTTTTTGCGTACAAGTGTATATACTAATTTTTTATTAGAATTTAATTGAAATTTTTAGCCGAATCTTAAAAGTCGAAAGCAATCAAGAACTGCACTATTTTGATTTAAAGTTTTTAGCTTGTTACAATTGTAATATTTACATAATAATATATTTCTGAATATAACATTCAATAGTGGTACAGTTTAATTTAGTAATAACTTTAAGTTTGTAAATTTAAGTTTGAGTCTATGAATTGCTTCATAGAGCTGTTCGTGCAAATTTTTTCTGCATATTTTGATTTCACTTTATTTATTACCCTTTGTACCGTATTAGTTAGAAGTGTTGCAACGTTTTAAGGGATAAACTGGTAGGAAATGCTTTCGTTAAATACCTAGTTTTCCTCACCCAAAATGACAAAGGTCCCATGGTAACACAGGGGATGGAGACTTATTGTATATATGAGTATGGGTGTATGTATGTG